TAATGGGCCCTATTACAAAGCATAAACACACAATCAAACACGCAATAAAACACCAGAGCAGAAGACAAAGTGGAGGACCACTATAAATAGTACCACCACTGTCCATAGTGGCATAGCGTGACCTCAAACACATTGGAATAGAAATACCATATAATCCATCAATCTCTCTTCTGAGGATACTACCCAAAGAAATAAGGTGCAAAACACGAACAGACATATGCACACTCATTTTTATCACAGCACTATTCAAATAGCAAGAAAGTGAAAATAACCATCAGTGGAGGAATGGATAAACTTTGGTACATGCATGCAATGGAATACTAGGCATGCCTGGAGAATAATAATGAAACCATCAAATACTCCATGACATGAACAAATTGGGAAGATATTTTGTTGAGTAAAGTTAATCAATCCCATAAAAACAAATACTATATGTGATATTATTACAAAAGGAAAAAAATCAAGAAAAATCATTTTGACACCAACAGAAGCAGACTATATTGGTTACAGAGAAGTCAGGAAAATAAGGAAGAAAAAGAGGAAAGGAGAGAGGACAATAAGTAAAATTTGTTTTTACTTATTTATTTTTTAAACATTTTATTTAGGGCTCTTACTACTCTTGTAACAATCCATGCATCAATTGTATCAAGCACATTTGTATATATATGTTACCATCATTATCTTCCAGACATTTATTTTCTATTGAGCCCTTGGGATCTGATCCTCTTTTCCACCTCCCTCCCCACCCTACCTCAACCCTCCTGGCTCCTTGATAAATTATAAATTATTTTATTTTCATATCTTACACCCGCCACTGTCTCCCTGCCCCCACAATTTTTGTTGTTCATCGGCCCTGGTGGAGGGGGCAGTGAGGTTAGGTGTCAATCATCATGATCGGTTCTCCCTTCCTCCCCTCCTCTCCCCACTTTTTTCTATGCCCTCCTTGTATCGCTACTCCCATTCCTGTTCCTGGATTCCATGTGTCGTGAGTCCTTATGGCTTATCCGTATCTGTGCCCATGCTATGCTCCGGTCTAGCCCTCAGTGAAAGGCAGTACTAGGGTCATGATAGTGGGGGCTGAGGAAGCCTCAAGGAACCATAGGAGTGATGTGTGTTTGGTCCGTGCTTTACTGCACCCTGCTTGACTCAGCCCTTCCCTGTGAGCCCTCTATGAGGGGATGTCCTATGGTCTACAGATGGGCTGTGGGTCTCTGCTCTGACCCTCCTCGTTCTCAACAATATGGGATGTTTGTTTATTTGGTTTGGGTTTTCTGATGCCTGTTACCCAGTCCCAGCAACACCTCATGATCACACAGTGTGTTTCTCCCATAAGGGCTTGTTGCTTCTCTGCTAGATGGCCACTTGTTTAACTTCAAACCTCTAAGACCCCAGATGCTATTTCTTTTGATAGCCAAGAACCATCAGCTTTCTTCACGATATTTGCTTGTGCACCCATTTTGTCTTCAGCAATTGTGCCAGAAGGGTGTGCATTACAGAATACTAGGATGTTATACAGAATACCAGGTTGTTACAACAAAGTGTTCTTGCATTTAAGGAGGGCATGAGCAGAGGCCTAAAGTTGATCCACAGCCTCAGTGTATTGCCATATAAGTGTCATATGTACCTAGGCCAGTACCTCTATTTTTACGAATTAATGTATTAACATATGTACACACTTATGCTTAAACCTCTATCCATATCTTCACTTCCTAGATTTTTCCTCTGGTTCCTTTCAGCTTCCTCCTATCCCACCATCATGCTCACCCTACTTCTACCCCTTAGTAATTCCTCTCAGCTAGAGTAGTGCTGCTCCAACAGCCCCAGGAGCTCTATGTCCTTATTGTTGATTTTAATTCCTTAATTGTTCCCTGTCTATGGTGTGGTTTGCTTACTGCTCCCTTCTCCAACCTCCTTAAAAATATATACAGTGATACCTTGGTTGCCAAACTCAATTCATCCCAAAGTTGTTTTCTAACACCAAAAAGTTTAAGAAGTGAACACATATTACCCATAGGAAATAATAGAAAAACAAATAATTAACTCTGAAGCCCAAAAATTACACTAAATTCATTTTTCCAGAACTTTAGCACAAAGTTAATAGCCAGAGGCTGTGGAAATACTCCCTAAAATGACTAAACATAACAAATACAGTACAGCGAACCCTTGTTTATCGCGGTTAATCGGTTCTAGACCCTACCGTGATAAATTAAATTCCGTGAAGTAGGATTCCTTATTTGTAAATCAAATATTTTCATAGTTAGAGCATAGAGGACATGAAAAAACACCCTTTAGTCACCATTACACTCGTATTACCCAATTTAGTAAACGAAAAAGGGAAACTACAGTAAAA